ACTTTCCACAACTTATTTCAGTTACCCAACCGTTAGATGAACTCAAGGAAATATATAAAAATCCTGAGCTTTAAAACAGCAGCCTCCAAACAGATTTAAAATCATGAATTTCCAGTTCAGAAGTTAAATGTTTTAACACTTGGAGCCAAACATTTTAACACTTGGCCACTACACCTCCTGATATACATATTGTATTTTAGTTGTTCAAGCAATGCAAAAACAAAAATTACCCGCTCTTTGTTTTCTTTTCTTTGGATGATGTCAGTAAGTCGTTTGCGTTCCTTTTTGCTAAGTTTTTTTACTTTCTTCTCAACAACTTTTGTTTTAATCTTGGCCTTTTTCTTTGGAATAACCACCAACATGTTTGTGTCGTTGTCTGCAACATTTCCAACTGTAGATATGCCTTCCAACTGAACCTAAGAAAAACATTATTGACATTTATTAGTTAATAAAATTTAAAACAGAAATAGGTCATGAGTGACTGACTACATGACATTTTTTAAAAGTCTCATTTGAGAATATGTATAAAATCAATACATATCAAATACATACACATTTTAATGCACAGATGCTTCTATACTGTTATTCCAAAGGTGGCCAAACATAAAAACAAAATACATAGCCCTCTGACATCTGATCTTAAATTGATTTTGATATAATATCTTATCTTATAAAATAAAAAAAAAAAGATGATATGTGGCAAATCTAGGTCAATCTAGTCATGCATGTTATTTAATGACTTGAACTCTGCCAAGTCACTGGTTTTCCTGGCTCCAAGCTCTAATAGCACTAGGGAAGAAGGAGCTTTTGTACGAATTTTATATGGAAAAAGGAATGTGCCTTTATTCTTGTGCCTTTCTGGGTATTTTATTAGATTTTATAAGCCAACAATATAATATTTAAAAGTCATTCCATCTTAAGATACTGTAAATCCAGATTTGATTCAACACAATTAGATTTAGATTACAGTACTCTCTACTTGTCTCTAGATTTATATGAGATCTATAATAGGTATCTAAATATACAGACTTTCATATCTTTAGTAATTAGTATAGTAACAAGATTTTTAAAATCTACCTGTCCTCTAGTATGTCTTGAATTTACATGTTTCAGGAGTTCCTTCAAGATTGAAGATTATTAGAAAAGATAGATCTAGCAAGCCCAAACCTCCCACAAAATGGGATGGGGGAGGGCAGGGTTCAAACCCAGGACCAACAAGACCATAATCCAAGCACATACCACACAATTATAGCACTTATGGGGGGACACCTCTGTAAAGGCCATCCTCCTTGAATCTCATCAAAAAACCCTCTAGGCATGTTATCACCATCCCATGCAAGATAAGTGTCTGACCCACGCAACTGCCTTCTATTGGTAAGTAATGCTTCCATACAATCCTGCCAGAGTATGAACATTACAGAGTGAATGGCTAATATGCCTTATTTGATGTCTTCTGAAGAGCACCCAAGTCTCAGCACCACACATTCAAAAGTGTGTTGAGAACCACTGCTTTGATTTATTTTTATTGTTAGGGGAACAATTTCACCATACATATAAATACTATAATTATACGCTCAATTTGGAGATGACCAAAAGCCCTGAAAGTATTGTTGGCCTTCTAAGTAAGCAAGTCTAAGGTGCCTTAAATCTTAAACTGCCTTAGTCACTTGTGAAATGGTTGTCTAAAATGTCTTTGAGTATCTAGAGTTGTTTTCTTTTTAGTAAGTAGTCACTAATAGTGAAACATTGGTCTGATTGGTAGGACACTGTGCTGTCTACTCTAGGACACTCTAGGTATGTAAAGTATAGATTTTATTATATTTATAAATTTATGAAGTAGTTGACAACATTTGTGTGGAAATGATTCAGATTGGGGTACTTCTAGTTCTACTTCTGAAGAATGAGCTCTATTTTTTTTAGCCAATAGATCTCTAGACTCTAGATTTCAGACAACAAAGTATGAAAGTGAGTTGAAGTTCCTGACACACTACACTAGACTGTGACTAGACTTGAGGATTGAGTACGTCAGACTAGAGTCTAGACGATAGCACTTTGTGACTTATATATTGAATGAAGTTATTGAATTACTGAGCAGTCAGTTGAGTCAGTGAGTAAGAGTGACAAAATTCAAGACAATTATATTAGAATTGAGAATAATATATCTACTATAGACTACTACAGTACTACTGATACGACTACTGTAAGTACTGTAACTAAACTAGACTAAACTAAACTAAAAGTAGTAAAAGTGAAAATCTAAATCAAAATCTAATATTAAATATATATCTAGATTTCTAGATCTACATAAATACCGTATTTCCATCCATAGATCTTGAAGATTCAGAGGCATCATTATTTTTTCTTTTCTTTCCCATTTCAGAAATAACATAGATCTAAAACACGTGTTTTTATTTTTGTTTACAAAATAAAAACATTGGGCTTGGATTATCTAGAATAGAGTAAAATCAATTCATCCTGTCAATAGTGCCAACTTCGAGATCACAGACCTATGTATATATTTCTATTTTACAAATCAGTGATGGGAAAAAATACAGCCCGCGGGCCAACTCCAGCCTGCGGAAATGTTTAAGTTGGCCCTACAAGAGTATAGTAGAAATTAGTTAAAAGTAACAAGTTCACTCACAAAGTAAAAAAAAAAATCAAATTTACAATTCGAGCTGAAATACTGGATTGATAGAATTTATTTTAATGATTCACTTTTGGTTATTAAATGTTATTCAAACAAGCGACTGTTAGGTTGGTGCTGTATATTGTTTCATTTCTCAATCATTTAAATTTAAAACTTTTCAATTTTAAAATGCGGAATGAAAAAAATAAATAAATTGATTCAAATTATGAATGTAATGTTTTTAAAGAGGAGTGGGAGTATATTTTCATACATTTTAAAGACAAACCACCGTGTCTTTGGCAATGTGAATATGGATATGTCAACAGGGCATAGAAATTTACAATACTCTATATAATTGTGACAATGAGGAGGGTGATTTGCAATTATTCTGAAAGAAAATTGAGACTACATAGTTAAGCCAGAGACAAAATAACTTTTTTTTTATATAGATTTAGAACCCATCAGAGAAAACAAATAGAGAAAGTTCTGACAACTTTGTCAAAGACCTAAAGATTCTCTTACAGACTGTGGGTAGGGTCTATGATAATCCATAAGATGTGCTTATTGCTTATCAACAGAGATACGTGAAAAGGTACAAGAAAGTCAAGGACTAAAGTTTACCCTTAGCAAGGACAACAATATGAAATGTCACAAAACCTGTAGGGAAATGTTTAGGGGACAAAAAGTGGGCTACTGGGACTACCACAACAGATAGATAGCATAGAATCCATGGCAGAAGACGAGTTACAAAGAGAATTTCCTTAAAAGTTGAAAACCACAGAAACACTACCACGAGAATACAAGTTTTATGTTAAAGGAAAATGCTAAAGGAGTTATCCATCTACCACGTCGCTTAGCAACATCGCTACGAAATATAGCTTTAGAAAATGCTAGCTGATGGATTTATAACTCCAGGACACTAGCCTACTAAATGGGTCAGCTCACTTGTTGTATCCACCAAGAATGACAAAGTTAGAACTAAGTAAAGCAAACGGGGACATCGCCCGAAGGAGACTACTGAAGATGTGATCACTAACATTCCAGATTTTGAAGATATTTTCGGTAGGCCTAGTCAGAATTTATGCAAGTGAGGAATGACATTGAAGCAGCTTGTCTCACAACATTCGATACACTTCTAGGAGGATATTGATGGTCACGAAATGTTTTGTACCACGATTAAGCCCCTGAGATTTATCAAAGGGAATTTTGAATGCAATGCTTCAATGTATTGAAGGTTCATACGTCATTATTGACGACATTCTAATTGCTGGTAGGTATATCGAGCATCATGACCTCATTTTTTAAACAAGTCGTAGGCTATGTGGATCGATTGAATATAATCTCAAGTTGAACCATGACAAGTGCAGGTAAGGCAAAACATAGTACCTTACATGAGTCATATCGTGTAAGAAGTGGTATCAGGTCTAAAGAAAACAAAAATACACTGATAAAACAAACTGATCTGACAACGCTTATGACTTTCAAGCTGACATCTCAGCGCTACCGTCAATAATGTCCAGTAGGGAATCGGCGCCAATGTCCAGGTGACCGTTCAAAAGGATTTTACTCAACGACCAAGCGTGAGCTCTTTGCCCCATGTCCCGTTTGAAGGTTTCACAATGGCAGAATCCATAAGTAAGATTGAGTACACTCTCCGCTTGCTATAAGCGACTGAAGGCCGCTCTAACCAAGGGGAATTTAAACATATTTCTTTTCTGTAACCGCCACAAGGTCGTGTTGCAGCTATTGATGACGGCCCCTTTTCTAGAACGGAGTGACAAACTTGTTGGACTGGGTTACCCGGCTATTTGTTCCATCCCCACCCCGAGTGAGAAAACAAAAGCTCACTCAAGGTAGCACGAAGAGGCATTGTTTGCTTCTCGTTCTTAGCCGATCTAGTTCCACAACTAGACGTTTCCACAGAGGCGTCACGCAGAGGCGACGGATGTTGAATCATCCGCATTCAGTTACCGTTTCAACTGAGGCGTCATGTTGTCTATATAGAGCTGGAATCTTTGGCTCAGAACTACCAGAAACACGAAGACCAGAAAATCACCTGAGCTAGGCCTAAATATTATCAACTACATAAGAGCCACTTCTTTCAAAATGAATGGCCATACATGCCATGTGTCACACCATACGCAAAGGCAGAGTTGTCAGCAAACCAAAGAGACTCGATGACACTAGCTGAATTAACTTCTAATCTTCGAAAAGTTGAATTTGTTACTTTTTCTGATACATGGATTTTATGAATTAAAGAACCAAGAGGGATGTAATCGTGTAGTATAATATCTATTTACATTTGCACATGAGCGCAACACTATGTTATGTAAAACAATATACAGAAATAATTGACTAACAACAATAATGTGTATCAAGATAAAAATATTTTAATGAGTTAAACATGTAACATTGTGCTTCTAGGCCTTAAATGACCATCAATTATAAGGCAAGACAACATACACACACACACAGAAACAAACAGGTGAACAAAATAAAAACAATATGCCACAGAAAAAAAAAAACAGTAAAAATAACAAACTTATTACAATATTAAATTAACCTACTTAACAAAATAAGATAATCAGTTTAGAAGTCTCTTTAGAAAATACAAATAGAGACTGATTTTTAATTAGGAATAAGCAAGGAATCACCAAATTTAGTAAAATAAAAATGACAGTCTTTACACACACACAAAATTAATTTTAATCAAGAGAGAAGAGACTTTTTTATTTTAAACTTTTTTTTTTTTTAGCACAATAATAGCTCAATGTTTTCTTGAACATCTTGAACAGTTTACACCTCCAAATATATACACTAATAATTTATAAACATTAAAACTATCTTTCTTGACAAACAAGATGAACAGTAGGACTGCTAAACAATCTGATCTATACATGTATTCTGATACAGTGCATACATGTGATAAGCAATGAATGGAACACAGAATACATAAAAATATTTTGTTTATAAGACCAGTTCATTTAGATTTATCAAACAAAACAATTCATGGACACTTAAAGGTGTCTTAAGATAGACTCTGCTTCATGGGAGACTAGAGCAAAAGAAAGAGGATCATGCTGCTACACTGCAAGAGACTCAAAGACACTAGAAAAACCATGGCAGACAAAACAAAAAGCTCAGGGTCTTAAGTTTGAATCAATAAAGTTCTAGAGTTTTAGGATGCTCCTGAGTCCACCCTACACTAATAAGTACCTGACCTACATTAGGGAAGTAAAGGTGGTCAATCAATGTGTTTGCCATCTGACACCCTCATTATGCATTAGTCATTGTAACAGATCACCCTTAAATCACCTGCACTACTTATCACAAAGGTCTGAAAGGGGGTACCTTTTTTTTTTTTTTTTTTTCTCATAAGTCTTGCACTTGCAGCTCCTAAATTAAATATCCTAATTTCAAATCTGCACTTATATATATATATTTTTGAATAACATAGATCAATTAGAACAGGAATATGATATGCACTGCTTTTGACTCTGATGATACAGTTTCAGCTCTTAGAGCAGGAAGTGGAAAACAATGATATCAGGCTGTTCATCTCAACATTTTTGCTCTCAATAAATAAAATGGAAAGAATATAAAAAATATACTTGATAGAGAAAACCTTTTGATGACAGTTTCTCTTTCTATTGCCTGAAACATACACAAGAGAGAATTGTACAAATAAATCTATTATCCACCATTTAAAAAATTGACAAACAATGTCTTGGTTTTGCAAAAAAAAAAAAAAAAATGAATACAAAGTAAAATATGAATCCTTCATTCTTATATATGCTGGTAATTTTTGTTTTCAGTGAAGTCAAAACATAAACCATAATTTCAAATAATTAATTTTATTAAGTCTTACTCCTACCATAACTGACTGAATAGAATGTCAAAGCAAAATACAAAAATCAATGACAGAAATGAAACACACACCTAACATCTTATAACTAACACAGACATTTGTCATACATCTCTACACACTCAAAGCTTTAAGAATTGTTTACAATATACATATGTACAGTATTATACAAATGGTAACATTGAAAAAGAAATGCCTTAAAAAATGGTAACTTGTCTATGAAAAAAATTAACATGTAAAACAATTGTTTTATATTCAGATACAACTTAGTTGTTCACATAGAATAGATTGGCAAAACGTCAAACTGTTCAACTCTGCTCAAGATTGAAATGAACACTGGCATGCTAGTTTAAAAAATGATGTCCAGTTTTCTTCTACCAATCTTTGTCTTCTTTAAATCTTGGCTTATAAAGTCACATGTAAGGAAAAGTGTCTAATGGATTAGCATAGTCAAATATCATCATAATGCCCAGTAACTCCTTCAGCATGACATGCAGCTTTAGTATTAACAAAATATTTTGTAAAAAAAAAAATCAGTTAATTAATCTTTTTTTTTGTTTTTAAATTGTATTACATTTGATTAAATTAGACCAAATGGATTTTTTTAAAAAATTGTATTACATTTGATTAAATTAGACCAAATGGATTTTTTTTTCTTCAAAAAGGGCAAGATGTTTGAAAAGTTGATCAAGAACACAAGAGTCTGACAGCCAAAAGCTAAGAGAGAAACAAATGTCAGATCTAAGTCAGTGAAAAATGTATTGCTCAGGTGATGATATTATGTTAAAGACAGGCTCTAGTCTGTATGATGGATGGATAACAGATAAATGTATCACTGATATTGCAATGAACTAGTTACCAATCAATAGTGTATGTTAGGTCACAAAAAACTTCTTTCATACCTTACTAAAAATTTATATAGAACAGGAGGAACCCATCATACATAATTAGAGACATGTTAATCTTATTTAGATGAGCAGAGAGCCAAACACATCAAAGTAAAGAAGTTTTCAAATACCAGTATGCCAGCAAACTCAATCTGGGTGGTGTCATTTCTAAAGGTCCATCTTTATACTGCCTTAGTCTCATAAATGACTTACTTCTTCAAAGTCTGCCTAGCTTACCACTTACTTTTATAATAACTATATTAGAAGAAATGATACAATCATATTCAACCTTTTATTGTTGTATGTTGGCCTTACAGAATCACAATTCTTACCAATACTAACAGTGCATTGGCACACGCAGCATACATAAAAAAAACATAGACAAAAAACTTGAACACTTCCCTTGCACAGAAACAACTGTAAGCTATTGCCCTTCATGTAACAAGAAAACACACTAGAGTAAAAACCTAAGTTTAAACTTTGTTTTAAGAAACACAATGTTCATTTGGTCCCGCTTATTGAATCCATACATTCTAAGTAACAATGCATCATAATTAGTTAGACAAATATACAGCTTGGGTGGCAAAAAGAAATACTGAATTCAATTCTCAATATATGGCATTCTGAACTGCGACATTCTATTTGTAAGAGCATCCTCATACCTCTTTTTTTTTATCTAGTCTAAGAATCAGCGTGTTTATGCTGAGTGCTTTGATTACCATCAACTGCAAAGAACACTTGATACAAGTGCTGTAGGCCAGAAACCCTTGGCACAATAAATAAATAATTCTGTACATAACATAACAGTTGAGATTGGATGCAGGTTAAATATAATGGCAAGCTATAGAGGCTCTAGGAAAGGTACAGTCTGTGGAAATCATTGGCACCAAAACCAGCATTGCATTTAGGGCACTTCCTTTGGCGAGTTTCGTAGCGTGTCCGCAGGCACTCCAGGCAGAAGACATGAAAGCATTTGGTTAGCACAGCATCCTTTTTGTTCACCTTACATGATGGGCAAGTCAGCTGCTCCTGTAGCAAAACAACAAAATGGAAATCAATTAATAAGAAGTTCAAAATATTTTTTTGCGTTACATTGTAACAAAACAAGGCAAACAATCATGTTACAAATATCAATAAAGACTAAAAGTGTGTATATCGTGGGTCCCACATCAAAGATGTGATCTTACTTTATATTCTTTAATCTCTTCCAACAAGACTTCATCTGCAGCCCCCGCCATTTCAATCTTTTTACTCCTCTCCAACTTGCGATTCAGTTTAGCAACTTCTTCCTGCATAATAAACAGTTTTCATTAGTTGAATTAAAACAATTAAAACCGAAACCAAAGCTTAGTTAATATTTCTGTACATAATCACTTTTAATTAGATAGATGTCATTTTTTCATTATTATCTACAAATAAGAAATTTGATATCTAAACTTGCAAGATCCTTTAAGATCACTAGTAATCATTTCAAGGTTATCTTTCAACTAAAATCTAATTAAAATGAATTTTCAAAGATACTTTTAGACCATACATTTTAGGTGAAAGAAGATAATACAACCTAACTATATATTGAAAGGTTACAAATAAATGACTCAATCTCAATTAAAACATTTACTAATCGTCTACCAATATATATTCCTTCAGTCATAGAACAACTATGGTTAACCTTGTAGATAGTGAGATGAAAGCCTGGCACGGCCTGTTCCTTTGATCAATCTCTAACTTGTATTGTTACGATCTTCTCTCTCCTAATCAGGCAAATGCTCAACACACAACACATAAACAACACAAGTTTGCTCAGCATGGTACCCAACGTTTCATCTGTCTTGCTCAGCATGGTACCCAACGATTCATCTGTCTCGCTAAGCATGGCATGTGTACTAATGTCTTTAATCATAACAGATCTCTCGTTTAAACTCGTTTATGACCTCTATGATATCTGGTTTGAGTTCAAAGAGGTATGTGTTAGGATCTTCCTCTTCATCCACCAGGGTTTGCCGGAGATATTCTTTAAGAGTTTCGTTGTTCCTTTCGTAGTACTTAAGTCCTCGCCATTTAAGCTCTTGTTTCAGTTCTTTCAGATTCAGTTCATCTAGCAGTTTTACAGAGGCCATAGGAAATCCCACTTCAAGACACCAGTGTTACGTCTTCTCTCTCCTAATCAGGTGTTCTGTAAACAACTGCTCAACATACAGCACATCAAGAACTGGATAACAAGAGTTCCAAAATAATCTGGTACTTTAATGAGTAGATAACAGCCAATACAAGACAATTGGCAACACATCAACAACTAAAAATGCTACACTGTACATCACTGTACTAAACTTTACTGTCTCTATCTCTTCCTGGACTCGTACATTCACTTGAAGACTCTGCCAGGACTGACTTCATGGTCTCCTAGCTGTCCTGTCGTGAACTGCACTGCCTTACACGCTGTCTCTCGTCTGTGAAGGATTTTGATCACATGACCATAACACTGGTCATATTTGCGTATACTAGCAGTACTGTCCCTTGTCCATGACAGCCCCTGAGTGACTTTCCTGAGTTCACGTGTGTCAGCTGAACCTACAGTTAACCCTATCAGACCGCCAATAGGGTTATAACAGTATTTTAAAAAATCAAGGTGTTGATAATATTTAACTGCCCACCAGCACTGACCTGCATTCTTTTATATTTAAAGACTTCTTGCTCCAACGAGGCTGTCTTCTCTGCGACTGCCACCTGAGCTTCTTTCAGCTGTGCCTGATACTTATCCAAATGAAGCTTGAGATCAGCAGCTGTTTGAGAACTTTCCACTGCCTTCCTTTTGTGCATCTCCATAGCCTGCTGGGTAATCCTGTGGAAAAAGCCAAAGATTTCTCTTAGACACAGAATACAAAGTGAGTACACATTTATAATGAACCTTTATCATTCCACTTAAAATGTGTGGTCTCCTGTGAACTTAAAGTTGATTATGAAGTCTAATCTTTGCTTTGAAGAGTCGGCCACACAGAACGCACAGCTAGGTTGTCAGTTGCAAAATAGCCCGCTTTCACTGCTTCAAGCCATGAGAAGCAATCAAGAGCTAGTGTTTCTAAATTGTGGATATCAATTTCACAATCTGAGCGAACTCTTGAGGGTGTCATTCTATCACTTGTGTTGATCCCTTTAAGAACAATTTCCAGGACACATCTCCCCATAAAAATGTTGTTTGGGGAGATGATTTTCAGGAAAACGAACTACACGTCCAGTCAATCATAGGACCTTTTTGATGTGACAAGGATACCTGTTTATCTGTGACAGAAGGAGGATCTCAAAATCTGATCTGTCTATACAGCATACCTAAGATAGGTATAAAATATCAGGACCAAAGACTGCATTGTTGTACCATGTCACTCAATGTACTAGTCATCTCCTTGTAACTATGCTTTGTCTATCATAGTTTATTTTATATGAAAAGAAAAAAATAGGTAGTTGAGGGTCAGGGGTGAAGAGTTTAAATATATATATATATATATATATATATATATATATATATAAATACCAATTTCTACTTACGATTGTTCTTTTTCTACAGCTGCCAAGCTGTTCTGTAGCAGTCTCTCCTTCTCTTCCAGGCTACGCACAACTAAGTTCTGAGCTTCCACCTGAGTTTGTAGTGTGGCCACTTGCTCAGTCAGGACATCTTTCTCTTCTCTCAACAACTTCTGTATCTGGTTGGATTTGATCCTCTACAGAAAAACCAAAAACTTTTTTGTCATTATTTTTAGTTAACTAAGTACTACAAAATAAACTATCTATTCAAAACAACATTCTAGTCCAGATGAGATAAATGAGCACAATTGGTAACCTGAAATATAAGTAACAGAACTGTATGCCACCCTAAAAGTGAAAATGTTACAAAAAATGATTAGCATGTTCCTGCTCAAATTGGATGAAAGCTTGAAAAGAAAGGGAATAGGCATGACTTCTACTAGCTTGCATTACACATTCCAGGGAAAATAAATCAGCCATTTCATTAAAATATTGTTTACTTTAAATGTACCTCTGACATAAGTTTAAAATTAGCATCATCTTTTTCACGCAACTGCTGAAGAAGTCTGGTGTTCTGCTCTTGCATGTCTTCAAAGGCTTGTCCTGTCACATCTAAATCATTCAGTAGGGCTTCCTCTCTCTAAGAAAATTTAATGTAAAAAAAAAAAACTTCTGTTAACAGGTGGAACTTTGGATAACACAAATATATATTTAAACAAACTACTAGACTAGAAAAGCAAATACACATTTTATATTTGTTCTTTGGAAAAAAGGTGTATTTGGTTTTATCTGGAGAATTCAATATATAAATTTCACTTCAATAAATAGTAACAAATCAAAATCCAATTAGTGGGAAAAAAAATAATTTGTTTAAAGATTGAGTATAAATATTTCATATTTTAATAGAGCTTCATAAAAATGAAAATGATTTTTTTTTCCAGTTAAGCTGCACATCCATCAAAACATTTCCATTTTCTATACTGAGCTTTAGTGAAGATGTTGCAATAAAGGTAGTGACCAAATTCTGCATCTTGCAAGCTTGTATTAACACACATCTCTATAGACCTTTAATTTTGAATCAATTTTATAGAGTAGCAATAACAACATAGTCCAGTCAGCTGGTCAGAGTAAATTACATCTCCAGCTCTAAGAAATGCAATGGATATCGATCTTTTTTTTTTATATATTTAAAAGTGAGTTATA